AAGTGGGAGTATAACAAATGTGGTGGAACTACTAATCAAAATATTAACCAATATGCAGTATTTTATTTTAGATAACAAGTTCATCTGGATGAGCAGTTCTCTTCAAATCACATAACTTTTGCCTCAGTTTTAAATTTGCATTTAGAATATAGAGATTAATTACCTACACCATAAAAATGAGACCATCTAGTTAAGTGCTAAGTCTTCTGAGATACCAAAATAAAAGCATTACCTACATACAAAATACTTTGAGAGAAATATTTTCAACTAACTCACTGTGATGACAATTTTCAGTTCTCAAAAAATAAATGAGAGGTTGGAAAAGGGTAAAAAACCCAGCCTTTCAAACTGCAGCACTTTTAAGTACTGCCAAATGCAAGGTGAACCTGTCTGTCACAATATGGGGATAGCTTCTTTTAAAAATTGAAAGTACAGGTCATAGTCTCAGTGAATTGGATAGAGTTGGTGTAGACTAAGCCACGGCTCCTTTGAAAGGCTGAAATGAGCCACACAATGGAAGAGATAACTTTGAGTCTGTTCTGCAGATACCAATACCCACAGCCTTTGAGTAAGGGAGATGTAGCTCATGGATAGAAAGAAGAGTTTTGTGCTCCCTTTCTTGCTTATAAATTGTACTGTCAGTTTAACACTTGGTCCTGAGTGTATGTTCATTTGAACTGTGGTGAAGTGGCTTTGAGTGCAGCCATTCAAACCTCAGAAAGGGGTGGGGAATTTGATGGAGCAGCTGAGGGTATGGTCTGGTTTAGGAAGAGGACTGCAGAATCCAGAAGTTGAGACAGGGATGCCCATGTCAAGGATCAGGTGAATGATACAGATTGCTTTTCCATCAAATGTTGGCAATGCAGTTATCAGCAGGGACAGCTGCTTCACCCTGCACTGAATCTTGTGCTCGTACAGTAACTGGAGGGAGAGGACTTTATTCACCAAGTCCTTGATCCCCCTGTTGAGTGTGAACACTGCAAGAGTGTCTAAATACAGAGTGAATATGCTGCTTTGGTGGTGGATATGTTGAACTTGGTCTGAGAGCTAGTGTGAGACCTTCCCATTGCTATACTCCTGTCCAAGACCAGTTTCACAGGTTTAGAAATGTCTTTCCTCAGCAAAGTGATGACATGGACTTACAATTCTATATTGGAATAAGTTCATATGAAGAGAAAGTAATGAACAATTAGAGCTGACCCCTTTATCTGTGCAACTGCTTCTGCCTTAGAGTTCTGTGAGTAAATAATCTATACTCATTACAAAAAGAACTGTGCTGGGATAAAGGTGTCTATTGGGAAGGTGTCAAGTTTGGCACAGGATTTTGTTCTGGTTCCTTGGAGGTGTGCAAACTAATCAAATTGCACCTATGTTCATCTGAGTAACTCCAAGAGAGCTGATAGAGTTGCCCTGGATGTTTCCTGTAGTGAAGGACAGACAAATCAGTTTACAAACTGTGGGTTTTTCTGGGTAAGTGAATTAAACAGAATCACTTCTACAACTACTTGTCCAAAACAAGGCAGAAAAGTTAGCACTGGATTTGAAATTCAAGTGGATGTGTGTTGATAATAATCTTGTTCATCTTGTTAGTAATTTCTGACAGAGAACTAATTTGACTAGGGAGTAATTTTAATCCAGAATATTTATTGATGTATTCATAGAGATTATGATATTAGAGAAATTTTACAAAATCTAGCTATTAAATTTAGTCTTAAAATACTCCTTTCTAAGACGTTTATTAAAACTTTTTAATAGCAATTATGCACCAGCTCTCTTGTGGGAAGTTAATGATTCCAATGAAAACAAAGGAAGAAAACTATTACAGATTGTTTGTCTTCTGCAGTGTAAAACCTTCTTTAAAGGATTATTCTCTCTGCTTGTATTTACATAGTTAGCAATAAAGATTTTTAACTTCAGGTTATTTTTAATTTCCTGTTAAATGTTGGCTACAGCATTTGCTAATTTTTTGTTTCAATAATATAAACATATTTAGCAAGCATGAGGTGGGCAAGGAAAGCTGAATCTGAAAGTTGAGTTTAATTAAGGATTGGCTTTTTTTTTCATTTTGGTTAAAACTTCGTCTTTGCAAGCTCCCTCTCTGTCCCACCCAATCACCCTGAAAAAAAAAAAAAAAAAAAAAACAACAACAAAACCAAAAGGAAGGTAAGGGTGAAAAGAAAACAGAGAAATCTGGGGCTTAGAATTTCCCGGTGCTCTTTGCAAGCCTTTGACTGTTGCTGCAGATCTGTTCAGGGAACTCATTCTACCAAATGCCTAAGCTGCGGAGCAGCTCCTCTCTGGTCTTTTCGTTGCTCTCTGCTGAAGTGGGACAGAAAATCCAGAGGCCTTTCAGGGACTCCCCTCCAGTGCTGCAACAGGGAGGTCACAGCCTTCTCCTTCCTACTCCCCCAGCAGGGCCCCAGGGCAGCAGGATGGGAGAGCTGTGCTGGGGAGAAGCCTCTCCAGTGGGCTTAGCACGGGCTGCCCAGTTACCCAGCACATGCAGAGCTCTGTGCTTCTATTGCCATGGAAGTACTTGAAGCAGGTTCTCCGGGAGCAGCCTGCCGGGGTGGTTCTGTCCCGGGCTGGGTCGATGCCTCGTGGCACCTCAGGTCTGCCGTTGGAGCAGTGGGGCTGCTCAGGTCAGGTTTCCAAAGGATCACAGGAATAAATTCAGAATTTGTTTCTGCAGATAATCTCCAATGTCTGCTTGCAATTTGCTGTTTCCACAAAAATTTTTGGCAGTGAGCGTGTTTGCTTGGATTCTCACAATTGTTTTGGTAAGCATATTCTCTCCCTTGACAGGCCCCTCTTGGCAAATATTTCAAATTCCTGCCTTTCTCTTTTTACATTTTAGCTTTTCTTGGGATTTTTAGCTGCAGCTCTCTATTATTTCTGAGGGTGGCTCTACTTGTCTGAATATGATGCAGAATTCCTACGTTTAACAAAGAATTCCTCCTCTTCCTTCAGGATATGGAGGAATTTGTGGCTAACCCTAATGAGAGAAGGAGTCTGAAAAAATCTATTGGGAAATAAGCAAAAGTCATACTGGTTATAACTGAGTGGGAAGCGAATTTTCTGTAGGAACTGAAATTCAAAATTTTAAAAATTATTTTGTTGTAGGTCTTAAATCAGGGTTAGAAGCAGAATATGTATTTTATTTAAGATTTCTTTATATTTAAAAATATTTATTTTGTAATATTCAACTTTGGTAACACTGAAGTGTTTGTGCAGCGTGAATGTCTTAATTCCCAAATTAATTTTGATCTCTTCAGTCCTTGGACCTTAGAGTCACATCTACTTGACAGACATGGGGCCAAGAGTCTCAAAAT